CACACCTAGCACACATATGCCGCCTAGCACACACATGCCGGGCTCAGAGATCACCACAGTTGTCTAGGACTTACCTGCACATTCCTTCTAGTTTCCTCCCATGAAGGGGGCGTGGTGGCACGTCTGTAATCCCAGCACTCAGCAGGAGGACCACTGTTGAGCACAAGGCCAAGCAGGGCTATATGTGTGTTTTAAGGACAGCCAGCACTGCAGTGAGATGTCTCAAAGCAAAAAGTGAGGGGTGCGTGAGGGGGAGGGGTGTTTGTGTTCAAAACAGCCTGGCCTCATGGCTGAGGTTTTTTTTGGTACCAAGGATTGAACTCAGGACCTTGGCTTGCCAGGCAGCTTATTCTACTCATCTATCTCCCTGGCCCAAATACTTTGTGTGTGTAGTACCTGGGATTGAACTCATGACCTTGCGCTTGCCAGGCCGGTGCTTATTCTTCTGAGCTATTTTCCCTGAGGGTTAGGTTTTAAAGAGCTGTTGCTAGTGACTGGGACAGGATGACCATCTTGGGTGATTCCCCCTGCCTGTGAGCTGAGTGTAATTAGGGCCTGATATCCCCTCAGGAGCACAGGGGAAGATCCCATGTTGTTTGTCACCTCTACCTTGACAACTGGCTGATGCTTAGAGAACTGGATTTGGGATCCTCTGAGCTTTGGGCAGATTCACCTAAGTGTGTGCGGGAATTGCCAATGTGGGCAGTTAAAGCTGCTGTGAGCTAGTGTTTCCTTTTTCCTCAGCCTCCTAAGACGCACTTACACCTGAGATGAGGGGACCAAGACATGGCCTGAAGAAGTGAGTTGGAGCCTCGGTGTGTCTCACAGTTTATTGAACAACAGGTAATAAGAAATTGAACTCGACAGGCTATACAGCGATCCCAAGCTTGTATCTACATGTCATCAACTTTAACTGCAAGGTTACAACACTTGAGTTTTACAGAAAGCGAGATTTTCAAGTTTCACATAGAGCGAGACTGTGTGTGTGTGGCAGAACACAAACAAGAACCCCAGGGAGATGTTGCATGTTCTAATTATCCGTTTGGATGACTTTTCCTTTATGAGATGTATAGGTAACAAAAATTGTCTTTAAGAAACAATTTATAATACATCTTGGCAGTTGCTCCTGTTTTGAAAAAGTAATTTTTCTCTACATCTGCAAATTATTTTAATACTTGAAGTTTTATGTTCAGACTTATAGAAAATTTTCTGGAGCATAAAAGTTGACTTGGAAGAAAGGTGAAATTTTTTTCCCAGACCATCTCACCAAAAAATTTTTTTTAAAAAATGAGTGTTTCAGCACTCGAGGGAGGAACTGCCATTTTAATGTATGTATGTACGTGGAACATATTTAAGTTGTATTAACCCCTGCTGTACTTTGGTCTTAGAATTTTAAAAATTCTTCCAGAAAGAAAATAAGGAAAAATTTCCACTTTCTGAATCAGTAAATAATAACTACTGATATTACATATTTTCCTTAATTTTAAAAAACTAAGAAAACCTACTGGAGGTGCAAGGCAGGAGTGCTGGGGGCCACTGTCCTCAGCCCTCTCCCAGCTCACACGTGAGCCACACGCACACAGGAAGGGAGGCTGGGGAGGCAGAGCAAGGTCTGTTCAGTGTCCCATCGTCCTGCAGGCTCGCCTGGAATATCTGCTTCAAACCACCCATGGCACCGGGCCTGCAGGCCCATGCCTTGATCCCAGCATCTGAGAGGCTGAGGAACGACGACGATCAGGAATTCAAGCCCAGCTCGGGCAGCTTCTCAGCAACTTAACTGAGACCTGCCTACAAAAGAAGATTCTAATTGGGCTGGGGATATAGCTCGGTGCAAAGGCTCTGGGTTTATTCCCCAACACTGCAAATGAAATACAACCAAATCAAAAACAACCTCCACAAATAACTACTACACAGTTCTTAGGTGTTCTAAGGAAAAACTGTTTCATAGGCTAAGAAAGATTCCAAAACTTTGTTCAGTTCAAAAAGTCTTGAGAAAATAATTTTTTTCTCCTCCCAAAATACTACCAGGTGTCTGTTACATGTCTGGCGTACTTTGTGAGAGGTCTGAATTCAATCTGAGCTATCGGTGCTGAGTCCCAGGCTCATGGTGCTTGTACCACGGTTTGCCATGCCTGGACAGCTAGCGAGCTGAGAGCGCATTGGATTCTGGCCTGGGCTGGCAAAATGCCCTTGTTCCATGGGGGTGGAGGCCTGGGCAGCAGCCAGTCCAGGATGTGGGGAAACAGAGATGTGGAGAAGGCTGAGGCTGCACCTCAGGGTCAGGCTGGGCTAGGGGTGAGGGTGGAATTGTGGCCTCCGAGAAAGGGCAGGCTGGGGGAGCACACTTGGGAGAGAGCACTGAGGATTGCCTCAGAGGTTTGCGACTGGCCCTCCTTTGGGAGCCTGGCTGCTGGGAGCTCATGGCTTGGGCTGAGCAGGGGGCCCCACCTGTTCCTGGAGGAGTCGCTGCTGCTATGTTTGTTGCCTGCCTGTTCTCCCAAGGCCTGGGGGACCTGGCCCATCTCTCCCACATTCCTGTTCCATCTGCTGCACGTGATGCCATATCCACTGCTGCTGCATCATCTGCTACGGTGTCAACAGGTCACACAACCGGGAAGACATGCTGCCGTGATTCAGGTTCACTGGCTGTGCCTGGGGGCTCATCCCTCCCGTGGGCGGCTGGAGTTGCTGCTGCGGCTGATGCTGGCCCAGCCAGCCCTCTACATGCCAGCCTGCATGGGATTCATGTTCTGCATTGCTGATCCAGAATAGAGTCTCTGCATGGCTGGCAGCTGCAGCCCTGGCTGTACATGGCACGTGGCAGGCTGTCCAGAGAAGCTGTGAACGAGTTGGTACACTTGAGTGGCCCGATGTTTCTTGAATGCAGCCAACTGCTTGGGAAGAGCATAGGGTTGCTACTGTACACGATAGCAAGGATGCCCAAGTCTGAAGGAGCTTTTCACAATGCTGACACAGCCTGGCATGACTAGGTTGGTCCACTGGCTGTAGAGCCTCGTTCAAGGGCTTCCCATGCTGGGCCACTGACATTTTGGCTGACCCTGGCACCCCAGAATAGAGTTGCTGGGGCTGAGCCAGTTTTCCATGGGCCCAGGGGAGCTGCTGCTGCACTGTGGTGGGCCCCATCCCTGGCTCTAGATGCCCCATCTGGTCATCGAAGGGGGGTTCACAGCCATGGGAATCATCTGGGGCACATGGTGCTAGACTGGCCTCTGTACAATTTACACAGTGTCTTGGCTGTTCTCTGAATTTGCAATGCCATTTCTACTGCTGTGGATAGAGGGGTGCTAGCAGGGGAGGCCAAGTAGTCCATGTAGAGCCTGGAGGGTCACCAAGAGTGTTTCTGAAAGGGATAAGGTGGGATATCTGCAAGGGTGTTAGCTGTTCTGTGGTTGATGGAAGTTGGAGTGGTTAGAGGCAGGGGCTGGGAAGGGCAGGCCCTGTTGCTGGCCCACTATACAGGTAAGCTACATGCTGGCCATCCTCCTGCGTACCATCCGGGACCGCTGGCGCTGCAGCCGTTGTTGCCGGAGCTTTTGCTTGATTCTGAAGCAGAATGGCACGGGACAATTGTTCTCCTGGCAACGCTTGGCATGGTAGCAGCAAAGGGCAATGAGCTGCCTACAGACAGGGCAACCACCAATTGCCTTTCGCCTGCAGTTCTTGGTATGTTCTACAACTCTCTTCATTTTCTTGCAGGTTGGCAGGGAGCAGCTGGCATCGCGGCACTGTCGGGCATGGATCAGGGACTGGATGCTGCGCTGGATCCTTTGGCGGTGAATATCTCGAGGGTTCTGGATAGCCCCAGCCTGCTGGCTGCTGCTCTCACCATCTAGGCCAGGACCTACTTTCTCCATCTTGTGGATGTGGTTTTTAGTGTGATAGCAGGAGACACATAAGACATACTCCTGGGGAAAGAACACAGGAAGTACAGCTCAAATCTCAAGATTTAATAACTAGGGCCAGGGAGATGGCTCAGTAGAATAAGAGTTCAATCACCGGTTCCGCAAAAAAAAA